GGGCTGCAGCTGGACATGAGGCCCAGGGGCCAATCACTACTATCCTAAAATGTTTTCCATACAAATTAACCTGACTCTTTAACCCAACTTGACAGCTGTAAGAATTGTTTCCATTCAGGGCCCTTTCATGATGAAATCAACAGAAATCAAACCTGAACCTGGAAAGGCAGCCTTAATGAGGGGCCCTGGCTGAAACTTAAAATATTTCTGCATAAGTGCACCACAGATTCCCTAAGGAACCCCCTGGGTAGATGCTTTGTGTTGCTAATGTGAAAGGGGATAAATAAACCATATGAAAAGGATATGTCAGTCACAGATAGAAAGAGATGAAACAACAGCTTCCAGAAGAAACCGAACTGTCAGAACAAGATGGGGAGATATTTTGAAGGGAAGGTTATTTTTAAGCTTAAGAAACTAAATTTCCAAATATTCAGTTCAGCAAAATCTATTTATAAGGAGGGTTGCTTTTTTAAAATCTTATTTTTGCTTTGGTTTTTAATTCCTTTTTAGCCATTGGAGGAGGATGAAAAAGGAGACATAGGAGTGTTTGAAAACTTCAACCTTTGTTCAACAGGGTTCATTCACTCAGCAAATATTTATCAAGTACCTACTGTGTGCATAAACACTGTTCTAGGCTCTGGGAGAAATAATAGGTAGGTAATAGGGAGACTCAGAATTGAGGCAACAGCTGGACTGAGAGAGTAATTGTTCATGGTTCAATGTCAGCTCAGAAGGAGATCTCTAGTGGAGTGTCCCACAGACCCTGTGCTATTTAACATTTTTAGCAATGACTCATTTGAAGATGTAGATGGTATGCTTTTCAAATTTGCAAATGTCACAAATTTAGGAGGAACGTAATAGACTAGATTGCAGTCAGGATCCAAGAAGTTCTCAACAGGCAAAATTAAACTTTAAAAAAGAGATAAATAGGGGCAGCAAGGTGGCACAGTGGATAGAGCTCCTGCCTTGGAGTCAGGAGGACCTGAGTTCAAATCCGGCCTCAGACACTTGACACTTGCTAGCTGTGTGACTTTAAGCAAGTCACTTAACCATGATTGCTTCACCAAAAAAGAAAAAAAAAAGCTAAATGTAAAATATTACACTAGTGATAAAAATATAAGTAAAAAGATGAGGTGGGTGTGGCTGTAAAGAGGTTGATATATGAAAATAATCTTGGGGTTTTAGTGGAATGAAAGTAAAAAGTTAAAAAGTGGTATGGAAATTATATGGTAGTCAAAAAAACTAAAGCTTGTAGCTTATCAGGGTGATCATGAAACTCCAGGAGAACATTTCTGATGGTGAGGACAAATGCCAGGAAACATACCCGGAGCAAGCACCACAAAAGACACTCACAAATCCACCTTCTACGACCAATTCAGAGAAGGCCTGGAGAGACACTGAAACCCAGGACAGCAGTACTGTAGTTAGAAACTTCACACTCCCAGATATCATGGTAACATGGCTGCTGCTGGGGAGGCCTCAGAGGTGAGGAGTATGATGGAGCCAGGACAGGGAAGAACTCACCTCTGGCACATCTGGGGAAGGAAGTATGTCATCTAGTAGCTTCCTATTTTAATTATTTTTGTTAACTAAGTTCTAAACTCAGTTTCTACTTGCTGAAGGAGCAAAGGTGTTGTCAGTGTACTCTAAATTGGTACCCTGGAGCATAGCCCTGGTCATCCTATCCTGATTATTGCTCTGAGTAGTCCAAAGGAAGCATCCATGTCACAGACATGACCATAAAGCTGTTCTGCAGACAACAGGATTTTCAACTTCCCATGGTATTGTGTTCTGAAAAACCAAATAAACAACATTCCCTACTTAATATGCAAAATATTTAGAATAAACAAGAGGAGCCTGTTAGCAAACATTATACAGTTAGCCTTGGGAAGACCAAAGCACATTTACCAAGGGGAGGGAAAGAAAATAAATTCTTGTTAATTGAAAAAATAATTTTAAAAAATATGAGAGCATTAGACTACAGGATAATTCATCAATCATTACACATTCTAATGACATTTTAATTCTTAAAAAAAAAAAGCGTTAAGTACCAAGGGACAACTTGAGTGCTTCCTATTAATCTATTAATCATCAAATATGTTAGGCAGCCAGGTAGAAGAGTGAATAGACAGTTGAACTTGGTTTCAGGAAGACCTGAGTTCAAATCTTGTCTCACACACTTAATAGCTATGTGACCCTGGGATAATTATGAAACATCTGTCTGCTTCAGTATCCTCATCTCTAAAAAGAGAATAATAGTAGCACCTATAGAGGTATTGTGAGGGTCAAATAAGATAGCATAGGTAGAGCACTTTGTAAACCTTGAAGTGCTACAAATGCTAATTACCATGTATTATTACTGTGTGCAGATGACTGTGCTGGTGCTAGGGAAATGCAAAGTTTAGGTAAGTCCCTGCTATCAAAGTTTACAACCTAGTAGGGCATATGATCCCAATGAGAAACAGTATGGTGTAATAGATAAGTCAGGAAGACCTATATTCAAATCCTTTGTCTTATATATTCTGGCTCTGTGATCCTGAATAAGTTATTTAACCTCTCAATATACCAGGCAATTCTCTAAGTCTCTAAGTTACACTGGTAGAGAGAGTTCCCTCACCTGGAGTTCACTCTATTAATGAAATCATAGGTCTAGACCAAAAGAAAAAAAAAATGACACCTGCACAGCTCTACTATACAATGTTGCATGAACATGTTCAACTTCAGAAGCAAAATGCTATGTGATGGCGTCTGAGGGCAGTGTTTGCTAACTAGGAAAATCAAGGAAGGCTTTCTGAGAAAGTAGAGGTTCAATACCAGAAAATGGGAGGGAAGTATATTCCAGGCATAGGGCTTGACAATCTAAGTAAAGGCACAAAGGTGTGAGAATGGGTCAGAGTTGTCCAGTTTCTCTGGAACAGAGAGTATGAAGGAGAGGAATATGAGACAAGGCTAGAAAGGTGGGGAACATGTCAGTTTGTGGAGAGCCTTGCATTTCAAGCAAAGGAGAATGGACTTTAAGAGCAATAGAAAGAGCAGTGACTCTGGAATCAGAAGGTCTGGGTTCAAATCCTACCTTTAACACTTTAACTTCTTCCTATGTGATCTTGGGCCAGTCACTTAGTTTCTTCATCTGTTAAATGAAGGGATTAGATTCAGACCTCTGAGGTCCCTTCTAGCTCTAAATCTGAGATGCCATGATCTTGAACATTATTCAATAGAACAATAAAGAACCATTGAAGAGTTTTAAGAAGAGGAGTGATATGGTCAGATCTATTTTTTAAGTGATTCTGACAACAATGTATAGGATGAATTGCTGTGGGGAAATAGTGAAAGTGGGGAGACCTATAATGAGACTATTGTAATAATCTAAGCAAGTGGTAATGACCTGAATTAAGTTATAATAACAAAGACAGGATAAATGTAAGAGAGTTGTACTGATGGAATCAACAGCCTAAGAATGGATTAGATGTGAGAGATAAAGGAGAAGGAAGAATCAAAGATAACCCAAGGTTACAAACATGGGAAATGCTGGTACTGCTGACAAAAACAGCGAAGTCAGGAGACAGAGATTTAGGTGAAAAGATTTTGCTCTCAAGCTTCTCAGACTGAATTAAAGTATTGAGAGGACCACATGGTGCCTCTGACTGTTCTTACTGAGTCTTGTTTTCCTAAAGCTAAGAGAGGCACTAAAGGAAACAAATATACATGTGCAGCTAACTGTGGAGGTTTGGTTTGTAAGCATCTCTCACGTTGCTGGATGGGATGCCTGCACTGTGCCAAGCAGGCCCTCATTTCACAGTTGTTGAATTGCCAGAACCCTGGGAAGATAAACTTGTTTCTAAGCACAAATGTGATTGTCTCCTTGAAAGCTAGAATGTCTTCAATAATCTAGCCACCTGAACAATGAATCATAATTAAGTTTTTGGAGAACTAGCTAAGACTCCCAACCAAGCTTCAGTTAAAAGATCCAGTGGTGGTTGCTATCAGAGTTTTCCCAAAGGAATGAAATGAAATGAAGAATGAATGAATGAGTGAATGAATAAGCATTTATTAAACACTTCATAGCTACCAAGCACTATGCTAAGCATTATACACATAGAAAGGTGAAGACTTTCCTGCTCTTAAGGAGCTCACCCTCTAATTGAGGCAGAGTATAGACATAAAAAAAAGTTCATTTGTGGGGCAGATGGCAAAGTGCAGGCCTAAGGGTTCACGGATAGGTCATGTGGAAGTGCCGGAAAGTCTGTAAGGTGTAGCAGGGTAAATGGCAAAGCTTTGAGAATCCTGTAAGGATGCGGTGCCGGGGGAGATGGTAAGGTCTAGAAGTCCATCTTACCAGTTGGGTTTTAGTTGTTGACTTCCTACTCATTCAAGCCCTGAGACAAAGAGAAAGTAAGGACATTAAATTAGCTCTTGTCCTGGGGCATAAAGGAAATCAAGAGACATGTATGTGAAGCCAGGCAGTAGGCCTAAAGGAAATTGACAAAGGATGATTCATCTCCCTCTCTTGCTTGTTACCTTTTTTTCTGGGTTTTCATGAGAATGTTTGTGAGAAAACTCTGAGTTTGGAACTATTATAAACCAAGTAAATTTCCAAACTGTTGTACTGTTGGGTAAAAAGTTCTCAATCCACCTCAGTCAGTAAATCTCAACTTCACTTGAAGGTCAAGAATAAAGTTCAAACAGAATGGAATTCATTTCTTCTTATTCCCCAATGGTTGCATTATTTGCTCTCTCCTAGATATAGCCTTTAAGAGTTAGCTAAAGTCAGATTCTTAGGTTCTCTTTGTGGAGTGACTGAGGGAAGAGATAAAGAAGCAGGTGTTTGGAAAGAGAACACTGGTAAATGTGCAGAGTTGAGAGTGGTATACGAATACAAATTCTCCGGGCCAGAAAAAATTTCTTTGGGTTTAATTGATTTGAAAACCTAATGTTGCAAAACAACATTAAATGTACCCTAGAGTCTAAAAGTTGTTTTGTTTTGTTTTTTACCTCCACAGGTACTGCTACTTTATTCTTCCTGGGATAAATTAAGCAAGGAGTTGGATACTGAAGATGGATATCTGTTTGTCTGAAGAATGCTTGATGGAAAAATCTGCAATTAGTGTGAAATTATTTTAACATAAGGGATGCCACAGGTATATCACTGGGTTGGCCTAATATGAGAAGCAATGAAAGTGAAAAACAGTCTGTAGTCATCTACAGTATTAATAGGCGACGAGCCAGCATGTGAAACTTGAGATTCATGCACTGGCACAGGTTACACATCTTTGGCTTCTCTTGAGGGCATGAAACCCCAGCTACTCCATTCATTCATGTCTCTTTTCAGTATGAACCTGGACATCTTTCTGATTTCACTAATCTTGGCATTTGAATGGCAAATGAAAGGGCTGGCTAGACCTCAGATGACTACCAGCTCTCTGTCTGTCCTGTCTTTACTGTTACAATTTAGAATTATGCAGAGGTTGTCTTAATGCTCTGCTCATGGAGCCAAAGAAATTGGTGGGTAGGGCGGTTCCCCTTCATCATTGAATCTTAAACCCATCCTACCTTTCATAGATAACTTAGTTGACCACCTATCTGCAGTCTTTTAAAGCTTTCTAAGACAGCTGAGTTCTTGGTATTTTATTTTCCTTCTAAGAGCCAGCATTTCTTCACAATGTCCCTAATCCCCCTCCTCTTCCCTTGACTCCACATTCAGCATCCTTAGGCCCTGAATCTGAAGCCTTATTCTCTTCCATTCCACTTTCCTGTGGTTTCAAAACTGCTCTTTCCATCTGGATGCCTCTGGGCAAGGTACTCTCTACAATTGGGGTATTTTGATCAAAGAAATGAGGACATTGGTAATGAACAATCTTGGGCTAGAACAAAACACAATGAGAAGGACATGACCAGTTGCTATGGTCAATATTTGAATTAAGTGGAGGATGAAAAGCAGTTGCAATTGGACATCTCCTCTTTGGTCCAAACCTTTAATTTCACCAGGAACTCCTGGTATGGAAATTCCTCTCACCAATGCCAGTCAAGAACTCATCTATAACTGAAAGTCTCAAAGAGTTGCCTGAGATATAAGAATTTCACTGACTTGCTCTAGGTTGTCTATACAGCCAGTATATGTCAGAGGCAGAATTAGAAAAAACTCAGGTCTTTGCTTCCCTTCTGCCTCTCATCTCCTCTTACTCAGGAACAAGTCATAGGTTCATAGGATCATTTATTTATACTGGAAAGGGACCTTGGAAGCCATCAAGTCCAACACTCTCATTTTACAGATGATGAAACCGAGGCATATTAGAAGAAAAGTGACACAGCTAGTAAGCATATGAGACAGGATCTGGAATCAGATTTTTCTAACTCGAAGTCTAGTGCCCTGTCAACTATGTTGCACTGCCATATATCTCATTTTACTCTGATATAAGTCAGCAAAAAGACATGAAAAAAAAAGTTCCTAAAGATAAAACAAGTGAGTTTATAATGCAAAATTTGAGTTATCCATACTAGCTAGGAAGAGGGGACAGGTAGTATAGCATGGATAAATTAAATTTCTGAAGAATCCAAAAACTTTTTTTTTAACCTAAGCTTTTATCTTCTCCTTTGCTTTGAAACTTATATAAGAGCTTTTTGGGGGGGGGGGTTAGGCAATGGGATTAAGTGACTTGCCCAGGGTCACACAGCTAGTGTCAAGTGTCTGAAGCTGAATTTGAACTCAGGTCTTCCTGATTGCAGGGCCAGTGCTCTATCCATTAGGCCACCTAGTTGCCCTATACAAGAGTTTTTTAAAAAGCACATTCTATCCTATGTATACAAAGATAAACATAATTCACCATCAGTAGAGTACATTGACTACTTTTTTTTCTAGTAATGATGATGGATTTGCATTGATCTATCTACATTCTTTTATCCCCTCCCACTTGTGACCCAGGGGCAAGCCATTAGAAACACAGTCAAGCATGGGAAGGACTGCAGTTTGTGATCCTGCCACAGAGTTTTCATCAATATTTCAACCAGCCGTTGTAGGGTCAAGCCTTCTATCATCCTTAAACCAACAGGAATCATGAGGCCATAGAATATTGAGTCTTGCAATCTCTCCATTCCCTTGGCTAATGTCAGATGAAGATTGCAGCAAGCAGCAAGAACCTCTATATTTAGGCAGTATTGGCCAGGAAGTGAGTGGGATTGGATCATCCACAAACAAGGTCATTATAGTATATCCCTTTGACAGTGACGTTGCTGACAGTGACTGTTGTATGAACTGCTGTCATTAAAACGACCAGCTATATAACCAGCCCCTGGAGTAAGTAAGAGTTGGCCCCATCTCCTTAGTGATGATAAAATGAGATTGAAATCTCTTCCCGCTTCAGAAGTAGTACAGAGTGCCATGAAAATAGTAACTTTTGTTTTGACCAAACCCTGCCTGCCATATCTGTAACCTCATCTAAAGCACTGAGAATATTTTACCAATCACAGTTGACTCTGGTAAGTTGGAAAAGCTAAGGGAAACAACCTAACAACTTCTAGGTACCTTAATTTTAAGTATCCTGAAACCACGAGGCAATGTAGTATATTTCATAGTTCTACATTGTCTCCTTATTAGCATAATGATGATGACAATGATACCTGACATTTATCTAGTGCTTCAGGGTTTACAGAGTAAACAGAGTATAGTACAGAGTACTATATATGTGTATGTATATATGCATGTATGTATATACATATGGACATGTATATATGCATATATATATATAAAATCTCATTTGATTTTCACAACATTATTAGGTTTTGTTATTGTTCCCATATTATAGATGAGGGATGTCTCTACCTTTGTGCATTAGCATCACCCTTTCATTGTTAGATCACCAAGAAATCCCTCTTCCTAACTGTCCTATATGCAGTATTTTTAGCATTCCACATTTCCCCCATGACTTTCAAATGGAAGGTTCATGGATTTTTGTTTCTCTCCCAAAACTGTTTAGCTAATGAACCAAATGTTTTCAAAAGTACAAAAGAATCTGATCTGTTCCCAGAGGAACCAGAAAACTTGTGAATACTTGCCATCCCCTAAGGGATGCAGTTCTTGATGACAGCCCTACAGTACAGAATCCATAAGGCCAAGGAAAGAAGGAGAAAAGATCAAGGACGTGAGTTTAAAATGAGGTCAGCTCAGGCTCTCAGTCTTAAGTAGTTTGTTTATCATGGACTTTGGTGGTTTCATTTCTTCTGGTCTGTTGCTTATTATTATCATCATAATTATTATTAATTGTTATCATCATCATCATCATCATCATCATTATTATGGACTAAGGGAATGGAGGAGGAAGAAGAGAGTAGATGAAGAAAGAAAAGAGAAAGGGAACTTTCTGCTCTAAGAGTAAACTGCCTGGTATGGGAGCAGAGTAACCATTGGAGCTAGAATGCTTCTGTTCTTTTTCAGACACAGTATATTGTTTAAGAGACCAGAGAAAAGTACTGGTGAGTTTACGTGTACCTGAATCACTTTTGTTATATCAGCAATATCCTCTGGTCATCAGTGTGGACAGCTGTGTAAATAAATACTTAACCATTACAGAATATAGAAATGAGAACTGTTACTGTGGAGGAGTGGGGAGGGGAGGAAGACACACAGTGAATTCCAAAACTCCTAAACCTTCTCTTTCATAGCTTTACAAAAAGTTCTAGGTGTCTGGAGGGATGGGATCCAGGACTGGGGAGGGCTGGTGTCCTCATTGAATTCAGTCTTTGGTGCTGACATCCTTATTGGAACAAGCATCACACACCAGCCATTCTTGACACTGGCACCCAAAACCAGAGAGTAGAATCACTGACCACTTTGCAAGTCTATAGGCTAACATACTGGACACATTGTGTACCCAGTTTTGCATTTGACACCCTGGAAACCAAGAGAATATAATGGCAAAGAACTACAAGGTAGGGGCTTTAATGGTGGGTCACTCCTTCAAGGTATTCCTATTTATTTTCTCCAGTAAATTGAGGAAATTTTGTATTCAACACCAAGGTTATTATTTGTCCTTTATCTAATGTACATTATTATTTGAACAATCTTTTTTTCCCACAGAGGAGGCATTTTTTTGTCAAGTGATTCTTCCTTTCCATCCCCTGTCCTTGCTGTCTTCTTGAGTGGAAACTAAAAGGCACTATACCCTTCTTATCTCCCTTCAGAATCACTCTCTCTCTTGTTTTCTATATATATATCTATGTGTGTGTGTGTGTGTGTGTGTGTGTGTGTGTGTGTGTTCCATTGTCTACTTTATAGTTTCAAGGCAATTGGGATATTTTAAAATCCCAGGGTTTTATGGCTTAGGCTTGTGATACCAACAAAATGGTGGGGTTTTTGCTCATACTGCTGCACAGTGAGAAAATTGAGAAAGAAGCTTCCCCTAATTGTACTACAGGATACATTTCCACCTCAATACACTGGGCAGATACACAACTGTATCCAAAAACAGTGCATGGGGGGGAAAATCAGCTTCTTACATAGTAGGTTTGATAGTCTTAAAGAAGAAAAGTACCCAGAGTTTCTTGTGCCAAAAAAAAAAAAAAATGCATGTTATTCCAAATTGTAAGCTTGTGCTGTGAGATGTGTTTTAGCATGAAATAATAAAACAAGGTTTATTTTCATTTAATCTGACTGTACCACTAATTGACTTCAAGGTTCAATGATTTCATCAGTATGGGCACTCCCTTCAACCGTGAAAGTCAGAAGCAATTATGTATTGTGCTTGTGAAAACAAACAAACAAAAGACCCTGCATCACCACCTGGTGGTCAATTTTCTGGTGAAAAATCCTCTGAATACAGCTAGATGGGTCACTAAGTAAAAGACAGTGGGACCATACTCAATGTCTTTCTACCTTGGTACAACCTACTGGAGCTTTTATTCCAGTCAACTTTCAAGAACTAAGAATCATCTCTATGCCATGATGAGGCATGAATCCATACACCACGTGCCTGGCTATTCTAGGAGCTAACTAGGATAAGATGACCATCCCATGTACATGAGCTATGGCCCTTGTAGAGCTTAATTTTTCCCAGTGACTTTATCTACCCAAAGGTGCTGCCAGAAACATGTAAAAGGTATCCCAGAGAGTCAAGGATTGCTAAACAAGACATCTACTCTGCAGAAGGACAGAAGAGAGTTAGGACAGTCTTTGCCTCAGCCTTGGCAATGCTAGCTTCACTTCAGGATGACAGGAGCAGGGACAAATAATACTAGTCCATTACATTTGCTTGGACTTCCTCAAAGTCCTTTGACCAAAGACTTCTTTCACCAGCTTGCTGGAAGAATGTCACATGGTGAAGTTTAGGTTCTCATTCTTGGCCTTGCAGATTTACCTTGAGAAGAAAGAGTGGTAGGGTTGCTGGGGAGGAAGGAAGGATAGGTAAATGTGTGTGTGTGTGTGTGTGTGTGTGTGTGTGAAAGAGAGACAGAGATAGATGCTAGAGGAAGCACTTGTCATACATACTATGCTAAGGGATAAGAATACAAATAAATACAAGCAACAAAACAATCCCTGCCCTCAAGGAGTTTATATTCTAATGACAGAAAACAACACATAAGGAGGGAGGGGGCTATAAGAAGAGGAGTAAAAGTAACTGTGATCTCCTAAAGCTGCTGAGTTGGGGAAACACTTCTAAAAATTTACATCCATGGATTGACAAATTCAGTGAAAGAGAGCAGAACACTATAGATACAATATGAAAAATATTTTATTTTTAATACTATGTCATTGAATAATAATTATGAAGAAAATGGGGTCTTTTTTTCTACTCACTAAGTTGTTGTTTGCTGCTTTTTGGGGAGAAGGAAAAACATATTTCTTTCAAACAATTAACTCTTTAGTTCCAGGGGCCCAAAAAACTTGAGTTGAAGGAGCTGCACAGACTTTATCCATTTGGGTTGTCTTCATCTTAAGTTCCCGCGCCATCTGGCAGACAGAAAAGGGCCAGCAGCAGTGCACAACCAACCAGTCTTCACACAGAGTGCCCTAGGGCAGAACTCAGGACATTCAGGACATGCATTCACATCTACTCACTTCTAAGACAATGGGATTCCATTATAACAAGGACGGAGGTGGGGGAGAAAGAGAGAACTAACACCTCTCTAATCAGTCAACTGTATTGTATTGGGCCTTTAATGTATGGAACTGGTTTTTTTTAGAAGACATAGGGTCATAGGTTTAGAGTCAGAAGGAACCTTGGAGTCAAGGTAGTCCAACCATCTCATTTTACAGATGAGCAAACACTGAAGCTGAGATGTTAAACGATTTGCCCAAGGTCACATGAGTAGTAAGTAGCAGGATTCTATGTATATCTTATCAAGGTAAGGATTAGAATGGAGCCTGAACCTGTGATTTCGGTAGTATGGGAAATGCCTAGGTAAGCAGACTTCCTCTACCAATTCAGGTCTGAACCTTCTCTGTAATTCAGAGTTCTAGAGAATTGCCAAAGAACTCAGAGGTTAAGTGATTTGACTGGGATCATGCAGCCAGTATGTATCAAAGGTAACACTTGAACCCAAGTCCTGCTAGTTCTAAGGCTAGCTCTTTATTCACTGTGCCATGCTGCCTTCTGGGATTAAGTATGATACAGTGGAGAGAAGGCTGGATCTGGAGCCAAAGGACTTGTGTTCAAATCCAGACTCTGCCACTTAACTACTTATGTGACCTTGGGCAACTCCCTTCATCTCTCTGAGCCTCAGATTCCTCAACTGTGAAATAAGTTTACTCATTCATTCATTGTTTGTTGTTTGTCCTTCATTCTCGAAAAGAACCATGACATCAGGAAGGCGATGTCATGACGTACAAATGAATTAGATTTAAGTGAGGGAGGGTTATGCAAAGTCACCAGCCTCACTCTCTTCTGGAGCCATCTGGGTCCAGTGTCAAGATATAAATCAGGATGACTGGAGGTGGCCCCCTGTAAAATAAGTGAGTGGGACCAGATAACCACTTACTTAGGTCTCTTGTGGTTCTAAATCTATGATCCTAATTTCCATTTCAGAGAATTAGTCTCCTATAATGGAGGGAATTTTTAAAAAGCACCTTTGATTTCCTTATCTGAATTCCACTTCACTGTGAAAAAGATGCTTACTGACATCTATTTCTTATTTTAAATCAATGACTGAATTACCAGGGCAGGAGGAAGTGTCTGACTCAGACACTTGACCACCACCACGACCACCCTAAACTTGTGAACTGACTTCCCAATCCCAGAGAAAAATAGTTATAGAGCTACTAGCAAAACCCAGGATAGAGAAAAGTTTAATTAACAATAAAGAGATGTTGCAAATTAACCTTTTTCACTTTCATGAATTCAAGTTGTCTATCTTTTGTAGTCATAGCTATTCTCCCACTATTCCTCTTTCCAGAGGATTATTAAAAATAATGCTTCTTTAAGACCCAATGTCCAAGCACACACCAATTCATATACACTTACCCGTATTTTATGTCTCTCTCTGGTGCCTACTCTTAATGCAAGGGTGGAGTTGGGTAATAATGGCCAACATAAACATTCTCCATAATGCCTTGCAATGTTACACTCAAGACACATGGTACAAAAGAGACCACAGAAACCTGCCAATAATAACCACAATGAGAAAAACTAATTAATGCTAAATTTACACAGAAAAACTTCACCAAAAAATATATCCCCTAGCCCTAAACATGAGCCTAATGAGACAAGAGCTCTATTCTTATACTCCAAATAAGAACTGAAAACTAAGTGACAAATACGGTGCATATTGTTACTATGGGTTGAATAGGGCATGTGCAACGCTACCCTTAATTCCACCTGACCATGTATGCTAGCTCGCTCAGTAATTGGGTATTTGGGGCTGACATGCTCCTGGATGCTTCCCATCGGATGTGATTCAGGGCTGAAGGACTTGCATTTGGGGATGATGAAACAATCCCATTATTGGACACCAATCAAGAAGAACTGATGACTCAGTGGGCCTTTAAAAAGAGAATGAGTATGCCCCTAACTCTCTCTTCCATTGACTCTTCTAAGTGGTCAATCTTTTATTTTTTTCTTTTGTACTTAATAATATTTTTCCCAATTACATGTAAAGATAGTTTTCAATATTCATTTTTATAAGATTTTGAGTTCCAAATTTTTCTCCCTCCCCACCTCCCCAAGAGACCAAGCAATCTGATACAGGTTATACATGTACAATCATGTTAAACATGTTTCCACATTAGTCATATTGTGAAAGAAGAATCTTAACAAAAAGGAAAAACCATGAGAAAGAAAAAACAAAGAACAAAAAAGAGTGAAAATAGTATATTTCAATCTGCATTCAGACTCTGGAGTTGTCTCTCTGGATGTGGATAGCATTTTCCATCACAAGTCTTTGGTCAATCTTTTCTGATGCAGAAATGTTCGCTGCCACCAGTCAGCTCTGCTTGATGGACCCAGGACCTTCAGACCTCTCACACTCACAAGGTCACGTCTAAGCCTGGACATGCCCATCTCAAGATGGATGTTTGCTCACCACTTAGTCATTGACTCCTTTTGTTTGCTCAGTGGCCATTAAGGGGGTTCCTTGAAGAAGTAACCAGGGGCTCGTAATGCCCAAAGGACCCAAATGCTGAGCTAGCACATGGTCAGACAGAATCAGGAAGGGCAGCTTGGCACATCTTCTGTTCAACTCCCAGTTATTCTTTTTAAAATGCCTTTCTAGCTATAACAGAATCCCCATTCAAATTCTTTAGTTAACCACTGACAAAGGTTAACTCAAAGCAACGTGGTCATAGTGGAAAGAGCACTGGTTTTGGTGTCAAAAGACCTGGGTTCAAACCTAGCATTACCACCCACTATAATTAAGGTTAGTCATGTAAGGCCCCAGAGCATTATGGAGATAACGCTATTTCCAATGCTTACCTCGCAGTGGCTTTTGTGGGGATCAGTTGAGATGATACATGTAAAGCACCAAATTAAATGTATTATTATTACTTTAATCTTCTATAAAATAAAACATATCGAGGATTTAAATTTTCATTGAAACAAGTATTTCTAACATATTAATGTATACAATTTATTTTTAAAATATGTATTGTATACATGATTCATTAGACTAGTAGCCACCATTTTCTATGAAGTTTATAGAAGCCTTTTTGTCATATTGATACAAACTCCCTGCGCTAATCCTAAAGCTGACATTATTCTTTTTCTCATCTCAAAAAGTTGCTCTGATTTTGACCAGTGCCTGAAACAACTTGTCATCTGTCCAATTAAATTTGAAAACTATTTGGAACTTGATTCCCTGAACTTAGAGCTAGGTATACTGCACAGACCAGTTTTTGCTTCTGAGTTTTTGTTTCACACTATGTCAACAAATTTGTTTTGCACATAGCAACAAACCTAGTTAATAAATATAAAGAATCATTGCACATACAGTGAGAAAAGCTGGAACTTGGGGTCAAGAGACCTCCAATCTAGTCCCAGTGTGGACACTTACCAATTATGTGACCCTGGGGGCACTAGTTCATCTGAAACCTCATCTGAAAAATGGAGTTAGTAATACCCCCCAGGCAAGAATAATTCCCTCACCAAGTGGTGAGAAAAAAAGTCTGTAATCCTTAAAGAGCTATGGAAATATGAGTAGCTATTATTAGTACCACTATTTGTATTTGACACACCAAACACCAATGCCTACATATACATCATGGCCACTGTGTTTAGTAGCCCAAAGAGAGGGAGACTTATGCAACCTTCTCATACTCCCAGGGGACACTCAAATACTTTGGACTTTTGCTATTCAGATACCAATACATTTACAAATTCTGCAAATCCATTGTGCCATTTTATACCTAGAAATTACTCTGCTTGTCTCTTTGAGATAGAGCTTGCAACAACTATATCTTCAAAGGATAGAGTTGCTCCTGATTTGCCAATTTCGGTGTATTATGAATTCAGATAAAAGCCAGAAAAAAAAGAATAATACCATTAAAAAAAACCTCACAATTGTAAAATAAAGGCAGCAAAAAGTCAAAGAGAAAAAGAAACCATCTCTACTCACAATGTACCCTCAATTTAATGGATGGTCAATTGTAACTAATTCTCGGCATCTCATGGAAAACTGCCCAATGACAGAAGTCTGACATAGAACAAAACTGCAGAAATAGTGGCTCTCTCTCTCTCTCTCTGTCTGTCTCTCTCTCTCTTTCTCTCTCTCTTTCAAGTTCCACACAAATTATTTATGTGCCAGATAATATACTTGAAAATACATAGAATATCTCTATTAAACAGAATGGACAGAAATAAAAGAAAAACCACTTTTGTTTATAACACAATTCCATTAAATTTTTTAAATGCTACATGACAGAGGAGATGACTGAGTAAGTGACCCTGTCCTTTTTTTCCTACAAGATTGTTAGATGTGACATTATAGTCAATTAGTGCAATGAGAGTTTTTCTGGTAGATGACCCCAAGGACTTAATATATTAGAAATTGGCTTGATGCTAGGATTGCCTTTTTCCTATCATTCAAGCCAGTCAAGTTTTAAGAAGAATATATTTCTTGAAATCCCCTCTTCATCCAATCAAACTGTTATTCTCTTAGCCAATCTAGAATTTTCAGGTGAATGAGAAAGATAAGTCTAGCACCCTGATCAAAGAGATAATAATTGTAAAGCACTCAGCACAGTGCCTTATACGTAATGGACATTATATGATATAGAATATATTATAATATGTATCCCCTCTTTCCTTTCCCTGAGTACTAGTCGAGGATCTGATATGGAACAAAATGAGACACTCATAGGTCATTCAACAGTTCACAGGAAATATACTTAGCCATAGCAGAAGAATTTTCAACAAGGATATTCAGTGAGGTCCCTACATTGATTTAGCTGAACACAACTTCTCAGCACTGCTCATGCTGTTGATCCCTGGTCAGAAGTTTTAAAAAGGGAGTTGTCACTCCTCCTAGAATTTTATACCAGTGAATCATGTCAACAACCTGAATTAGTCCTTTTAGCCAATCAGATTTCAAGGAGAGTTTTAATGCCTCTTGAGGAAAAGAACTAGTCTAACTTGAACAGGAGTAAGTCCTCAGAAAAAGCTAAAGGCCTATATGGCTAGGCCCTAGGAAATGGTACTCCAGTCACAGATGTCAAAACAATGCTAGAAGCAGCAGGGACAGAGAGAGAAAGCAGTGATCTGGCTCTTTTGACAGCCTTAAGTCAGTCCCACCAGCAGTTTGTAGAGGACCCTCCTGTCCTCTCATCTTCCTTTTCTCCCAAAGCACTAGAAAAGTTGGACAGGTATGATCAAGGCTGGGATTTCCTTTATTTGTTTCTACCTTAAGCACTGGAAAGGACAATTGTTCATATTTCACTCTTGCTAATGACCTATTGACTCCTCTGGACTGATGAAGAGGCAGTGTCATGACTTCCTGCTAAAGCTATCTGAATGGGAGGAAGACCACTGAGCTCTCATATACCCATCTACTCCAGCAAAACCCTGAAGTGTGTACCACACCAAATAATGATCAAGAAATCCATTAAGAGGTGACTTCTACCACAGAACTGCACAAAAAGCCAGCCAGAAAGCTTACAGGGAAAGGAAAGGAGCAAAGTCAGGTCAAATACAGGGTAGCCTTCAGCATGACCAGAGGTACACATGTAGCCTAAAAGGCTAAATGTCCCAAGGCAGAAAGGGTTGAGAAGACTGCCCTTGGACAGCCTCAGCATAATCAAAAACCCCCAGGGTGGGGACCTTGGAAGCTCTAGGGAGCAGGGTGCAGTGGTCATGTTCCTAGGGCTTCATTGCCCACAATGGGGCGTAAAGCATCAGTCATTGGGATTTATTCTCTGAAATAAATTTCTCAGAAGACTGTACGTCTAGCTGGAGAATGTGGCAACATCACAAGGCAGACTTTGGTTGGTATAGAGTGCTGCTTTAAGGCAAAGGGTTTAAAAAGTGGGCAGCACAAATTAGGAAAAGAAAGGAAAGACAAGTGGAGTAGGCAGTGGTAACCACAGACATGGTAGAAGTGAGCAGCAGCTAGGATTAGAGAGGGAAACCTAGGAGCTGCGATTAGACCCTGATGACTCCAGAGGATAGATGAGAAGTTCCAGGCTTTCTCCAGCCTGCTCCAAGAGAAAGACTGCTGCAAAGCATACTAGGAGGCACACAACACCACATACTAAGTGTTTGTCATTGGGGCCATGAGTTCTGAAGGTACTATATCTGCCCACTCTGCTGGAGAATTAGATAACTCTCCTGGAGGAAGAGGAGTTAGCTTCTACTTGTGAAATATGGAAACACTGAACATTTTTTGCTATTTGAGGCCATTCCTTGCTATTTAAGTTGTTTCATATCTTAATTAAATATTTTTGCTATTGAATTTATGAGTCTCTTTTGCGATCTAGGAGTGGAGAATGGACCATACAGGGGCATAAGCTAAATTACATAACTGACTAATTCCCAATCAACTACACCAAATCCTAGCAATAGCAAGGGGTTCCAAATTCAGGTGGTACACTTGCTACCTGCATAACATCATCCAGAGTCCAGTGTGGTCTTTTGGTGATCTGAAAACTAAGAAGCTCTCTGTCAGGGATCAAGTGACTCATTTTGATTCAGTAGCAATTAGAACAACTTCAAGTTCATTAGACCAAAAGGATGGTGGATTAGACACTTTCTTTAGACACCCATTAACTCCCAAGACCTCCAAAAAGAGGAATTATGCACCAGGTACAGAGCAATAACAGGACAAAAAAAGAGAGCTCTAACAAAGTAAAATCCTTATGCATTAACACCATAGAACACTACCCCCTAAAGCAGTAATTCAGCAACACCAAACCTTTCTCCCTACCAGTTTTCATATTCCCAGTAAGGATGCACATGTGTGTAGGATCTATTTTGAGATCCTCTCCTAATTCAGAGATCTGAGCAGCATACCCCATCCCCAATCATCTCATTCCACCACAATACCAATTCTGCCCAGCCACATAAAGAAGAAGGGCAATGGAGCTAAAAGCAGGTTGCCTTCTACCTGGGACCAGCCCTAGGTTAAAGATCCCCAAAGCTTCAAAGAGTCTTCTCAAAACACCCTCCCCACCCTGCAAAAAAGCAGAAGGTATTGAAATTAGTGCAGCCAAAGAAAGGAGAGATGAGAAACTGGGGCAAAGAAAGGAGAGGTGAGAAACCAGGGCAAGGGGCCAAGAATGTGTGGTTGTACTGAGTATGAAGGAAAGGGGACTGAAACCCAGTTCAGGGTCAGTCCTGTGGCTCCAGAATCTCCTCAGGACAGAGACTGAGGCTGGTGAATCCTAAGTCCCCAAACAGTCTTTCAGCCTAGTCTGGGAGAATACATACCAGCAAAGGGAGAGGAGTCAGAAAGTGAATGACAAAGAAATATAAGGAAAAAAGGCTGAAGTATCAAAGATTTGAAGATTAAAAACCCATAGCACAAACAGATATATCAACACAGAGGATCCTAAAACTAGAAGGAATGATGAATACTAAATATTAATACTAAATAATATTAATTAAAATATTAATACTAAATAATAAATACTAAATAACAAATATTACAGGACAAAGGAAAGTGAACCAATACATGATGAAACACTGACTTTTGTGAACTCCCAAGACAACCTGGAACAACAAGAAATTCAAGAATGGTTCAAAAGAGAAATGAAATTCTTAAGAAATTACAAACGGGGGCAGCTAGGTGGTACAGCTAATAGAGCTCTGACCTTGGAGTCAGGAGGACCTGAATTCAAATCCAGCCTCAGACACTTAACACCTACTAGCTGTGTGACCCTGGGCAAGTCACTTAACCCCAACTGCCTCACCAAAAAGCAAAAAAAAAAATTACAAATGAATATAAGTCAGAATTTAGAGTTCTTCCTACAGAAATGAAAAACTCAATTAGCAGATAAGAAAAAATTGAATTCATGATGGACAGTTTTTCTAAAAACAAAAAAAAAGTAAAAGAGAAATGAATAGATTTGGGCTACAGAAATATCAGAATGGAGGAAAATATGGCAGAAGTAAGAAATCAGGTTACTTATCCTTATCTCACTTAACTCTAGTCCATGTTCCTCTGCACCAGGGGTGGGGAACCTGTGGCCTTAAGGCCACATGTAGCCTTCTAGGTCCTCAAGTGCGACCCTTTGACTGAAACCAAACTTCACAAAACAAACTCCCTTAATAAAAGGATTTGTTCTGTAAAACTTAGACTTGGTCAAAAGATCGCACACACTCAAGGACCTAGAAGGCCACATGTGGCCTCAAGGCCACAGGTTCCCTACCCCTGCTCTGGACTCTGCTGCCTCGTAAGGGAAAACTAAAAGCAACTTAGACTATTTTAAAAGTAGGGAAGAAACATACAAATTTTTTTGTCACTGCAAACATTGAAGAGGCTAGTGCTCCAATCCCCTGGAGTCTGTGCAATAGTTGTGACGGTGGTCCTGTCATAGACACCCCAGCCAGGCTGAGTCGTCACAGGTTGTGTTGGTCTATGGTGCCTGTAAAGTCAAAGGTGGTGATTAAATAAAACAATAATAGTAATGACATGCCATGTTTCTACAGCCCCAGGTTTCCAAACTGTTTCTCTCATAACTTTATGAGGTATAGTGCAAGTATTTTTAACCCCCATTTTATAGATGAAGAATCTGAGGGTTAAGTGGCTTACCCATGGTCACCTCACTAGTAAGTTTGGAAGGCAGTATTTTAACCTAGGTCTGTAAGACCAGTGCTCCTTCCAAAACATAACACTATTTCCTAAGGAAGAATGTTGTGTTATAGGAAATGTCACTAAACTAAGTATTGCTGAGGGGTAGAGGTAGAAGAGAAGGACATAGTGGCAAATATGACTGTGGTTCAATTCATTGTTCTACTTCTTTATTCATGTCACTCCTATTTCCAAGTCTTTTCTGCCTGTAGTTGTAAGCCACCTAACACTCACTAGGTTTCTCATTCTCTCATTAAAGTCAGTCTCAGGTGCTAAGTGATGAAGGAGAAATAAGTGGTTTCCAAAGTTATTTGCATCTCCCTGTGCGAGCCCAAGCTATTTGCCTCCTAAGTTTGAATGCTACAACTTTACTTCACTTAAGGGCTTCCAATTACTTCTTATTTTACTGAAGGAATTTTTTGAGGGCTGAGCAACTGGATTGGATTTTCCCTAAGAGAAACAAGTTGCTGTTAGCAGTCATGAAATAATTTTTTTCTTCTTTCTCAGCATTATGTGAATAATACATGTTATTCCTGCTAGCAAGCCTGTCCTCATTCTATACCAAGTCAAAAGTCTAAGTAGGCGACTACTTCTTAACAAAAATACTAGGTAATTGTGCCTAATTTCTAAGTCTAGGAGGATTCTTCTCACTTAATTTATTTACTAGGCCTTTACTGATTTTTAAGATAGTTGTTATTTACACACCTTGGCTATAATATTTTAGTCCTAAACTATCATTTTGCCTGCCTTGAAAATGAAGTGTAAAATTATTTCTTAGGAAATGGAAAGGTGGAGGAGCTGCTGCTTCTCAGAGCTGGTGCTTAGCTATAGCTTCTAATGCAGCTTTTGAGCCAATAAATTACCTCAGTGAAAATCACCCAGCACTGCAGCGCAGGAACAAGTTTAGCTGCAGTAGGAAAGGCGGATAGCCATAGAACCTTCTAAATTATGGTAGCTATCCTCTTCTCAATTCAACCACAGCATATTTTTCACTTAAATGGCTCACTGCTCAAGGAAATTAGAGATACATGTGGCAATCCTACACAAATCTGGTAAGTATCTTTTTCTGAAAGAAAAGGGTGGGAGAAGGGTCAATATTTAGTTATCATTTTACCTGGTACAGATATCACCTCAGTATCTTAGCACTCATTTTTCAGGATTTTCAGAGGACAGACAAGGCTCCCACCCCAGGTTGCTGCAATCTAGATTTGTTCAGGATCTAGGTTTGTTGAAGGTGTTGGGAGATGCTTGGGACACCTTTGCCTAGTCTAGCATATGAATGTGCTCCACCCCTCCTGTTTCTTATTCTACACCAATTTAACACTCCCTGAAAGCGGATGCCTGGGATTAGGAGGCAACACACATGCCAATGCCCTGGATATCTAATCACAACTTGCTTTGCTAAAAGCTTCTAGTTTCAACTAACACCTCATTATTTTAGATACTTTAGCTGAAGCCAGAACATTTTAAATTATTTCAAAAGGGAGGATGTTCCATCGTGTACCAAGAAACAGCTGGGTAGGGTTCAGAATTCAAAGTTTGGATGAAAGAGATACCTGTCTCCTTCCACTCAAATCTAATCATCCTTTTTCACCAGACGGTTAGGCCTAAAGGGATCAATCAGCAGTTCTGGCTTCAAGCACACTTAAGAAAGGTTAGCAAGCAATTTCATTCAAAGCCTGGGTTTTTCATATAATACACTGAAAACTATCTCTTTTCCCTAGACCCTTATAAGAAGTGATTGATTTGTTATTCCAAATGGAGAGCAAAGGTTGATAAAAGCCAACTCACCCTACTCCTTGTCTTGGGTCAGTAATACAAATTCTCTCCAATTCTGATCTCATGAGTGAAAGCATCAGTGGTGTCAGAACAGCCGTTAAAGAAGCATCTACAGTACAATTAGAAAAATAAAACTTCCAAATCAATTTATAAAGGAGCGTGAGAGGAGGGGGGAGGAAAGAGTTCAGTTAGGCCTTTGATACTGAACTAGATGATTCTAAACTTCACACTCATCCAAAGTTAACTTTTCTTCTTAAGAATGTCATCTCAATATTCTGGAAAATGAGGTCATAATGCTAGATTCAACAAATCTTATTTCCTTAAAGAACAGGGATGATCCCACTATGAACACGGAGATTAACCTATTATAGAGGATGTTACAGTGTAAGAAAGTACCATTTCAGCATCAAGTCTCAGTCTTAAGTCAATGTGGTTAGTGCCAATCAACATCAGTTGTCCTTTTCATTCCATGGTGTACACTTTGAAATTTGGAACCCTAAATTTCTACCTATCTTATATCCTAAGTTCCTTTCTTCATTATTCTTCTAAAACCCAATTTTTCACATGATAGAAGTCAAGTTTTTATTAAAAGTAATAGTTGGATATAAAACCCCCAAAAAACCATAGTTTTCAACAAATTGAGTCATAGTAGAAAAGTAAATAAGGGCATACTTAGTAGCATTTATTTCATAATCACCACCAAGTCCTAAAAGAGCCTACTGTGCTGTGCTAAGAGGCCCAACATTTATTCCACAACTTTAAAAGTAAAATCTACATGAAACTCAAAAGAAAGGGAAGAGGGGGTGGAGGGAAAAGTTTCCCTATGAAGATAACTCAAATGTAAACAAAACAAGACTCATCTAAGTCTTGCCCTTGGTGTATAAGGACAGTATTACAAAATGTGTTCATTTCTCTATGTTATACTCCAACTGCATCGTCAATTCCTTCTACCCATCCACCAAAATTTTTTTTCATACCAAATGTTTCACATACTTCTGGGAACATAGTGAGCACTTGATAAAATACTTGATTGATATTTAAAGCTATTCAATATTATGCAATCAACACTATTGTAGGAAGGCAAAAAGCTGAAATAATTCTCCAGTCACTTAAAAATTCAATATGGAGAACCATGTCTAAAACCATTTTATTAAAAAGACCTTTGATATTTTTTTTAAAAAGTCATTAACAATGAAACCTTCCTTAACATGAACCTGCCGAACAAACTCAAAGAGACACAACTGATCCATGTTAAGAAGACATGAGGGAATGAAATGAGAAAGCATTTACTGAAAGTTTGCTATGTGCCAAGCATGGTCCAGGTGATACAAACAGAAAGGAAGAATAGTCTTTGCCCTCAAGAAACTCATATTCTATTTAGGGGAAAGAATATTTAGAGAGAAGAGTCCATCTATAGGGCAGATGGAAAGATGTAAGTTCTTTTTTATAGGGTAGACCAGCAGGACAGATGGAATTGTGCTATTTGGTGCTTTATAATGGCTGCATTTTAGAATGTTGCTGTGGCTCCTGGTCATACCTATCGCTAGTTCCTAAAAAAGCCATGCACATTTCTATGTCCAAGTTTTGGATGACACCATTCCCCCATGGCTGAGATTCACTGCCCCCTCCTTCCCTTTTCCCCCATCATTTCTATTTGTGCCATATACATATTTTCTAGCCTACCAGGCCAATAAGTCATCTAATCTATGAAACTTCCCCTGGTTGCTCTAAATGATCTCCCAAAAGTATTTCTCTTATGTCACACATGTTGGCACTTGAGCAAGTATGATCGTTATTGTCTGCCCATTGTTTTAGGTATGCATGTTTTGTACCCCCAAGATGGTAAACTTCCTAAAGGCAAGGATTACGTACACCTTGTGTGGTTTTTGTACTCCTGGAGGGCCCAGGCACATAGTTGGCACTTAATAAATACCTGATGGAGAAGACTCATAAACCAGGGAAATGGTTGAACAAATTACAGTATATGAATATAATGGATTTTTGTTGTATCACAAGAAATGATGGAAGTGATGAATTCAGAGAAACTTGGTAAATTTTATATGAAGTGAAATAAGCAGAACTAGAAGAATGAGGTACACAGTGACCATGATGGTGAAAGGAAAACAACTTGGAAAGGAATCAGAACTTGGATCAATGTGATGACCAATCTGGACTGTGGCGGGGACTGAGAGCAAGACACACTTCTCTGTTCACGGATGAGAGATGTGGAATGAGGCTGATGCTGTCGAGTACAGCCGATATCCTGGTTTGTTTGCCTTAGCTATATTTCTCTGTTATGAGGGTAAGGGCTAGGGGCCAAGAGGATTCATAGTTGGGAAGTGACAATGATGTTTTTTAGAAAACACTAATAAAGGGGGCAGCTAGGTGGCACAGTGGATAGAGCTCTGGCTTTGGAGTCAGGAGGACCTGAGTTCAACTGCAGCCTCAGACACTTGACACTTACTAGCTGTGTGACCTTGGGCAAGTCACTTAACCCCGACTGCCTAGCAAAAAAACAAAACAAAACACTAATAACATATTTATTTTTAAAATAAATAAATACCTAACAAACTAAACATAAGATATCAGGTATATTCACATAAAGAACTACTTAAGGCAATGTACTTGGAAAAGGGCTAGACTGCAAATCAGGGAGAACTTGGCCATTGATGCCTTGTGAGGACCAGATGATATGTTTGTGAAGCTCTCGGCACAGAGCATGGTACATACTAGGCACTATATAAATGCTAGTTATTATTACCATCATTCTCTATTACCTATATGACTATGAGATTCCTTAATCTCTCTAAACTCCATGTTCTCATCTGAAAGATGGAGATAAAAATATCTTAAAAGGTTGTTCTGAGGCTCAAGTAAGGTGACAAATATATACACATATATATTTGTATAAATACTTGGCAAACTTTAACATACTATGTAAATTTCAACTATTATTACTCAGTGCGCATCAAAGGCAACATGGGTGGAGTACCACAGCCTGAACCTGGCAAGGGAGAGTAACATATATCAGCCAAAAATGAACAATTCAAAGCAGGAAACCACAGTACATGGCTGATGATCATACATCTTGAGTTACTCTGGTGTCATTAAGACTAGTGACTATTTATAACAGTTGAGTGGGGTGCCTGAATTATATAATTTATCTCTAAAAGTCTCTTCTAGTCTTAAAATTCTATGATCAGGCAATCAACTTGGCACAGTGAACTGTTATAAAACTGAGAAACAAGCAGCTCATCAAAGAAAGAGTACATGGCTCCATAGTAGAGAATGGACCAGGCAGGGTGGGGTGGGGTGGGGTGGGGGGACTGGAGAGATCCCTAGATTTTAGTTTGGTTTCTTTAATTGTCTTAGAATACTCATATTGAAAGTTGGAAGAAGTGGAAACATTCCAACTTAAAATTATATTTCATCTTGGAAAGAAATGAGGCACAGGCAATATGAAATCTTTCTACCAAGGATAATGTTAAGCCCACATAGTACAGTCAACATCTAACTTTATTTAAACATCATTTGATGAAAAGACAAATTTGGTTAAAAAAAAATTTCTGATATTAAATTTCTTTTAAAAATACTAAATTTAGTGTTCAACTTAATCCTAGATGCAATAAACTGTTGGAAATTTGGTACTGGTCTGAAAAAAAGATTACTGTTAAATCTAAATAGGTACCTCTAGAACAGGGAAGTTCTCTCTGAAATTTCACAAACCACTATGGTTCCATTCAAATCCATCCTTCTAAGAGAAAAGTCACCAATTTCTATTCTTTGTTAATGTTATAAATGTGTGAACAGAACAGAAATGTAGTCTGCATTTGGGTGTCAGACATTCTGCAAAGTTCTTTCTATCAAACATCTCCTGATCATACTCAACTTCAGATTTTTATATTTCTTCTTTATGCCATCATAAGATTTTTCTCCCTTCAATTAGAGGCTTGTAAAAACATCAAAAGTTCAATTCTTTTTTTTTAAGCATCTAAAAGTATGCAGGCTAAAGTTGCCAAAACCTTTGCCTCTGATTCTGTGCTTACATCTGTCTTACTCCAAAAATTTATACATTTTTAATAGCTATTAGATACTCCACAGAACTTTATAAACAGTACAAAGTACCACCTCATAAAAATATATTGATAGCTCAGTATGAATAATGAAAAGATAGGAAGCTTCTGAGACATTCAATATTAGTTCTCAACTTAGATCCAAAAGAGGGGGAAAAAAGTTTTATTATAGCCAGATCTCAAAGATGACAGTGCAAGATTACACGCAAAATTCAATGGTTAGAAACGACAGTTGTTTCGGTCCATTCTGAGATTCTCAAGGCCAATTTGTATACACAATCAGGTTAATGATATCCCTCAAGCCAGTGTTGATAATAGCCAAATCTGTCTGCAATTTAATGAACCAGATAGATGATGGAATCACCAATATCTGCCCTTAATCCATTTTCAGTGAGGTGAATTTTCTTGCTCATGAGGTCCACATGAAATACAGCATGATCAGAAATGGGGGTCTTCTCCACGTGTTCTCTTCCCAGGACAGGAACACGACGAGGTCCCAACACAGGATCATCAAATCTCATCAGTTTTACCTTGGTAAGATCTATAGTGGAAGAGATTACAAATGTGAGTATGATACTAACTGAGCCTATGATGGAGCATCACATATGTAAGACACACTAGCTGTTAATGCCTATCTAAATAAAAATCCCCCAGTTAGATTATTAAAGCAGCCCCAATCTCAGAAAACAAAAATCCAACAGGGTACTAAATTATGACTATCAGCTTTCACCAGATAAAAGCTGACCAATGAATCTGTGTAACACTGACATCTCCTGGAACAATATAGAGGAGAAGAGAAAAGGTCTATGCAAACTTAAGAGTCATATCCAATGCAGCCTCTCAAATCACTTTCATATGTTTGCATTAACCAATTTTTAGTGTTGTGAAACATCTCTTTCTTTTTCTGCTTCCCCAAATGTAGCAGCGGGTCTAAGAGAACTGTAGAACCATTCTCAATGTACTTTTTGGGAGGAAAGTATTACTACTGAGAGGAACAGCAATACCAGACTCTTG